TAGCAAGCGTACCATCACTATCTCTTAGCTTATAAGTCAAAGTATCGGAACGGAAGACAAAGCGTGAACAAAGATATTCCGGAACCATATTATTTACAACCTTGTACATCATTATTGATTTATTAACAAGGCGTTGACGGTCCAGTTTAACCCAGTTGACCATCCTCAACAATTTATCAGTATTACGATCGTAATTTGAAAAAGTTATGACGCGTGCTGCCCGATTTTGTAATTTTTGTAACTTTTGAGAAAGAGTGTTAGAACAGGATCCCCACACCGAACTGCAGTAATCGAGATGAGGTTGGACTAATGAATTGTAAACGGAAAGTTAAGTCTTATATGGGACCGAATACCTAATACATTTAATGGTGCTAATGCCAGAAGCAATCTTTTTGGAAAGCTCATTGATATGACACTCCCAAGTAAGATTTTCATCAATGTGTACACCTCAGGATTTAACAGTCAAGACAAATAGGTTTTTCTCCAACCTTGCACTGATTATCTGAAGAGAAGTTTTTTTGTACAGTGGAGCTCAGTTGTGTAACAACTTACCTATAGAATTAAGGCAGTAACTTAGTGGTATAGCCTTAGGTCATAGCCAGGGCAAAGAGGATGAGCGAGTCTTCTTAGGGGTACTTTTCCAGGTCCCAAGCGTATTCACTTATGGAGGGTTCAACTTTACAGCGTATTGGATAAGAGTTTAATTAAATTTTAAGAGTCATTGTCCTCAAAATTAACTTTTTGTTTTTTCTTTGCGGATTTGTCTGTTTTTAATTTTTCACTAGCCTATTTACGGATATGGATCTTTGGAGGACATGTTGTTTCGCAGCACCAACACTAAAGATGGAGATATTTTCTTTGTTGAAGACAAGGAGATTGGGCTGAGAGAGCTGGCAATGAACGTGGCAATACCCACTGATCCTGGACAGAGAACAGTCAAAGGTGACATGTAAAGAATAATCTTTAATAATTTTGACAAGAAACTCGGTCGAACAATGGTCGATCTACACTCTGTAGGGGAGGAGCTTGGGAGGCCAGCTTCTCTTCCTTTGCCTGAAAAATATAAGCCTTCAGCTCTTAGACGAATTCGCTTTGTTCCATTAATGAACAGAGAACATGTACACCTCCCTTGCCTCAGCCCCCTCCAGTTCTTTTTCAAGTCTGAAAGAAAATACAATCTTTACGCCTTGTCCCATAACCCACCTCTCCCTGTGGGCACCCCTGGCCAGATCCATCGCAATGCACCAAGTGACTGATGACAGCTGACTATTCACAACAAACACCTGAGTCGTTAAACCAGCAGAACACAACAAAATAAAACAGAAGAAAGGGGTTTACTGATTAACTGAGTCAAGTGATAAGTCTCACCCTGAATCAGGTCTGAGTAAGAATTACAAAGCTGAGATGTTATATATCAAGTCACCATATTCAGAACACAGTGAACATTTAGAATTTGTGTCTAGTTGGTGGATTGTAACCACTAGGCTGATCTCTGGGTCGATGGTTTGCTGTGTGAATCATGTTACTATATATATTCTGTCTCTCTAGATGACCACATATGCCAAATCATTAAAAACCTGACGTTTTTTTTCCTGCAGCTTACTGGCTTCCTATTGATGGCTCACAGTCTGCAGGAAGTCATGCACAGCAAAACAGCGGTGGGTTTATACTGATATTTAAGATTTATTACAGATTACAGCATAAATACTGCTTAATGCTGATATCTCTGAGATTATAGAGAGAGACTAGTAGCTGATGCATTTGTATTGTATCATTTAATTCACCAGACTGTCCATGAATAAGAAATATGACAGCTGTGTATTTTACTTAACATGCTTAAATTATTAAATAAATTAACTTTCTTTTGCATGAAATTAGGTCGAGTTAACAATGCCAATGAAGGTGGAGCTGTGCAGCGACCTCTTTCAGAGGTGAATAACAATTTGACACTTGTCATGTATGGGTATGCAACATCTTCGGGGTAACTCTATTGTACATGTGGTACTTAGTTTTTCCAGGATAGTTAAGTACATATCTGGTTTTGGTAGCATTGAAAAGTATTTTTAGGAAGCTAAAGTTCATAACTAGCTCATTTTTGTAGCATCCTTTGTGTCACCAAACTTGATAAATTTGAGTTCCTTTTACTTTACTGATGATAGCATTTAAAATTATCTGATAAAGCAACAACAATTTACATGTAAGTACTGAAGTCTGTTTGCAAACAATCCATTTTTCCTTCTTTTCATAGGCGTGTTTGAGTTACTATGAACAGATAACAAAAGCCGTTTTAGGTGATGAGGAACAATG